GCTCCCCGGGTCGGCCTGGGGTACGGGGCTGTTGCCAGCCAGTGGCTTCCTTCCACTGGGGCACTTGCTGTCTCCGTGATCATTCCCACAGTGTAACTCCCTCCTACCAGACCTCTCCCTTTCCATTTTATGAGGAAACTTTCTAGTTTCATTGTCCTGGCATAACTTAACTTAAAGCAAGATCGGATTTGGTTAAGAGGAAGCTGCATATCAAATTTGGTGGCCCTAGCGCTTATCGTTTAGGACAGGGATGGGCACAATCAGGCCCTAGAGCCAGAGCCAGCTCTCCAAGCATTTCAACACCTCATCTCTGCAGAGCAGGGGTCAGGAAGAGGAGACACACAGTGGACCTGCTCCAGTCTGAAGCATGGATGGTAAGTGACTCAGAGGAGTGGCTGTCTTAAGAGGCAATGCACTGTTTAAGATTTCAGTGCTCATGCACATGCACACACTACCCCCTAGTGCTGCATCTCTGCAGAGCAAGGGAGTGGAGAGACAACAGAGCAGGAGAGCTTTCCCTGTCTTAGAGTCAGTGTGGCTTCTTTTAGGAACCTACCAGCAACAGTCAGCACACACACTGTATCACACACACAATCTGTCTCAAACTTTCTCTCTCACAGTATCTCTCTTTCATAAACACACACATACTTAGCCTCTAGCCCCACCCCTTCCACCCAATACCTTGCCCTTTCAGGGGAGGCCAGAGCCAGCCCGTGACCATGTACCAAAATTCATGACGTGGCCTTCCTACAAAAATTATTGCCCACTCATGATTTTGGAGGAGCTCTTGAATAAACTGATGGACAGTCAGGACAGAAAGACACACGCATATTTCTAATACATATAGATGAAAGCAATAAAAAAATCCTGATGCACAACAAAGACAAGTGTCAAATTCCTGTGCCTAAGGTGGAACGACTGGCAGTTGAAAAAAAAAATACTTCTAACTCTGCCTGTAGGTTTGGACAGACTTTTAGGCCTATCTCATGTACAAGAAAGGAGTTGATTATAACTTTCTTTTCCAAAATCCAACTATAATTTTCTTCAATATACACCTCAACATTACTTAGTTGGGGATGAACAATAGAGCTTGTTTTCTCTAACTTTCAAAGTTATTTCATACATTCTTTTAAAGATAATAGAAAACTATTTTAAACATTTATCATTTTAAAATCAAGGAATATCAATGATCTAATTAAAATGTCCTTCCAAACTGAAAAGTGCTTCACAGTGAGAGTGCAGGGTTTCATGTTTGTATCCCGCAAGGTTCCAAGTCCAACATGTACTGTTTATAAATAATTTACAAATTTTCCCCTAACTGCCAGCCTTGAAACTTCAGCTTGAACTCTTGGAGGTTCTACAGGCCAAACTATGGTCTCACATGCTGTGTTGTGTACAACATTTTCTCTAGATTATGTCTTTAGGAAGATCAGTTAAAATCTATTTTCACTGAATTTGACTGGTCCTGGATATGGAAGTTGGTAAATATTTCTGTTGGTGCATCATGATGAATAGAATCCAGTTTCCTCACCCAGCTGTATTACTGGGGCCGCAGGGCTAACAAGCAAGAGCACAAGCTGATTTGTTTGAAAACTCAGCAAATATAACTGGCATATGTTAAATTTCAAGTAAGTTGCAAATTGCATCGACTATTCGATTAGTTGATAGAGAGTCTCAGCCTTTGAAGTGTAGCAACAGCCCTAGGGCTGTCACCGTTGAAGTGTAGTAAAAGCGCTGCGAGGAGCACAAGGCCAGTAAGGCAGTCCCCCGCTGTCCCCGTGCTCCCCACGGTGTTTTCAAAGCAGGAGCACCACGCAGAGCCAGGGTCAGTCGGGGAGTCCCTAGTTGATCCCGGGCTTCATGCAGTACTGCTACTTTGAAATGCCACTTGCAGCCTGGGGACACCCCAACTGGCCCCAGGTTCCACATGGTGTTGCCACTTTGAAGTATCCTCTCCTCTCCTCTCCCTCCTGCTCCCCCCCTCCTGCTGCCTCTTTCTGATAAAGGCAAGGGGAGGGGGGAAGCAACTAGTTGATTTGATTATCCGATAAGCATTTGCTTATTGAATAGCTGACATCATTCACATCCCTAGGTGTCACTCTTACATCATCATTCTAGAGATCCAGAACTGCACAAATTATTATTCTTCTGAAGAAATGGTGCATACTTCAGTTTGCAGGTGAGTTAAAAACCAAATCTACAAGAACCAGAGCTGTTTAGTTTGTTTTATTTCACCTTCAAAGAAGCTCTTTCCTTACACAAATTAGTTTATCTGGGAAAAGTTACTAGCTTTTTAAAAAAAAATTATCAAAAGAAAAATACTCACAATTCTATATATGATATAGAATTTTTGAAGCCTGCTGTCTCCCATACTAAAACCAAATTCAATCATTGAATGAAAACTGGCAAATGTGAGTTGAATTGCTCTACTATGTTCTCTATAGAAATGGCTAAAATGTATCTCATCTGTAATGGTGTCACATTAAAGTTCATTGAGCTCAGCCATTGTATTCATGACGATTGAAGCTCACTGTGAATATTCTTGAAATGTTAATCTTTCAGGACTTCAAGGTTTACAATTTTATGAGAAGAATTTGACTGATTCAACTTTGTTACAGGAGATCTTGTCACATTTAGAAATCAAATAATAGTATGTGCACCCGGAAGATTTAAATTCTTTCACTGCTAGCTCATAAGCACAACTAACTTCCTGAATGCCACCAATATAAACAGCAACTCTGTGTCTATCTTCTCTATTCTACTTGCCAGTTTCTTTTTAAGTGTCTGAACACTAAAGGTTGTCCTTAGAGATGAAAGCAAGCAGCTGACAGATTCTCCCCATCCAACCTTCTCTGCAGCATGTTGGTCCCTCTTGATCCCAGGATCACTATGCTTCATAGATCCCTCCCACCCCTGCACTTCCCACCCCTGCACCACACCTTTCTTCCCTTTGAACATCTATTATTCTTTTCCTCTTGATGATGCCAGCCCTCCAACACCCAAATTCAGGTAAGGATAGCAGATTAGTTAGCTCTGCTTCTCATGTGTCACCTGAAGCAAGTACGGGAGAAGCATTAGCTTGTCACATACTTAGCTTTAAAGTCGAAGGAACTACTCAGTTAAACACATGCATAGGTGTAGGCAGGGCTGAGTCTGAAAAGAAAATATTTAAGTGGAAGAAAGCTAAAGTTGTCAAACATTTTGTATTTAAATTAATGTGCAATTAGGTCTTTTAATTTTGTAACTTACAGCTGGTACCTAACCAAGCCCCTTGGAAATTACGTGTTACATGGGTCCTCTCTATTCTCATTAAAATATTCCTTTTACAACTTTTTAGTTAATTTCCAAGATTGTTTCTATGATATGGCAACTTATTTTATAACTGAAGGAGATGAAGTGGGGGAGAAATCAGTGTTTACTTACCGTTTTGATTACTGTTGCTAGTGCTGTCCTCCCTCTCAGACTGACTGGTAGTGCTGTTAGAAGTTGTAGGGGGAGGGGACGGAGCTCGACTGGAAGCAGCACTTTCACTTTCATCTAAAAGACGATCCATGTAGTCCCTAAAAACAAACACCACACTCAGCATCAGCTCAGCTTTTTAGCATCAGCTTGGTCATGTGCGTTCATAATATATTGTACACACACACCCTTTTTTACTCCTGCTTCAAGTATTTAGGTGCAGTTTGAACCTCCCTAATCCAGACTTACCTACAACCCTCTTTCTAGTCTGGCACCACCCCTTTCCAGCATCATTGGTGACCCAGTGGCGCTCCGAGGCTAGAGCACTCACTTGGAAAAATCAGCGGGCTGGGCCAAGAAATATTGCAGGACAGGGAAAGGGGGGCCGGCAGCCCAGGGCCCCAATGGCTGAAAGTTGACACCCCCCCCCCAAATGCCCTGGGGAGTGTAGCACTCTAGGGATGGTCAGCAGAGCCCCACCACCTGGCAGCATAACGTAGGGGTCAGTGCCCCCAGGAGCCAGCAGCTGGGATCAGAGGGACCAGCATTTGGCCTCCCCAGTCAGGCAAATTCCCTAGTTCAGGACCAATCAGATCCTGAGGGTGACAGACCAAGAGAGGTTCAACCTGTGCTTTATAGCTTTTCTGTGCTTTCTAATCTCCTTATACAGGTTGCCTCTGACTAAGGGTGTGTCTAGACTACAGGGTTGTGTCGACAAAAGTGGACTTTTGTCGACAAAACTAAACCTGCGTCTACACTACCGCTGAGTTATGTCGACAGAACTCAGCAGTTTTGTCGACACTGGTAAACCTCATTTTACGAGGCATAACGCCTTCTGTCGACAGAGTTCTGGCGACAGAAGGTGTTATTGCATCTAGGGTTGTGTCTAGACTACAGGGTTGTGTCGACAAAAGTGGACTTTTGTCGACAAAACTAAACCTGCGTCTACACTACCGCTGAGTTATGTCGACAGAACTCAGCAGTTTTGTCGACACTGGTAAACCTCATTTTACGAGGCATAACGCCTTCTGTCGACAGAGTTCTGGCGACAGAAGGTGTTATTGCATCTAGGGTTGTGTCTAGACTACAGGGTTGTGTCGACAAAAGTGGACTTTTGTCGACAAAACCCTGTAGTCTAGACACACCCTTAGTCAGAGGCAACCTGTATAAGGAGATTAGAAAGCACAGAAAAGCTATAAAGCACAGGTTGAACCTCTCTAGTGCGGCACCCTCAGGACCTGACTGGTGTCAAACCAGAGAATTTGCTAAACCACAGGTGGTCTATGTTGTCTAGCAGCATTACCAATATTTCTACTGCTTACTGGGATCTTAGAAGACATTTAGGATAAATTAGAGCTAAATAATGGCACAGAGCACAGAGTTGGACTGATGTCTGTAAACAAACTTTACGGGACCACAGAAAGCTTGGCCACACCCATGTTAAGGGGACATCCAGCTAACTAAAATCATGCCAGACCATGGATGTTGCCAGACTAGAGAGGTTCGACCCATTCTAATTTTGATTCTCCTGTTATTTGTCCAAATTGCACAATGGAGGGGGCAATCAAGGGCTATGTACAGAGCCCTTGGCATGAAGGTTACATGCACAATGAGTCCATGAAATAGAATGGGAAAGGAGCAAAGGGAATAATAGAGTGCAAGGAATTCTTGGCAATTCGCTCAACACATAGAAGCTACAAAATGTGCGACCACCTGTAGTAGTTGAGGACAGCGATACAGTAAATTCAGGATTTACTGGTGTGGCATCCTGACAGGTTTCCTGTTCCGTCATTGATGATAAATGTTTGGCTGCCTGCATTTTCGTATGCTCCCTCAGCATACCATGCCGGCTCTGCACAGGTAGCTAGCATAATAGACTTCATGAGAACCCCTAAAGACCACTGACTCAGATAAGGTATGAAGGCACCTGGGTCAGGTTCATTGTCGAACACAGTACATTAAATAGTTGTCAGTACCTGGGAAAATGGACATGGCTCAATTAATAGTGTGGATTTCACTATTGCCCCGTAGGCTGGCCAAAGAGTTAAGTGAAGTACACCAACATTTACAGACAGAAATGAACAATCAACGATACACACCTAACGTATCATCTTCTGCATTAATGACATGTTTGGTATCTCCCTTGTACTTTCCTCCAAAGCATTCGCTACCCTTTGTATGCTTTCACTCGTTTCAAACTATTTTATCATGTACAGCTGGATGTCCCTGTACTGTCCTAGTGTTTTGAATTTACATAGTTCATCTGCAGTTATCCAGTGCTAGCAGTTTCAGTGCTGAGAGACACTGACTTGCAGGCAAACATCTGCTTTTGACACAGCCTGTCTGTTACTCCTAGTAACAAATCTTGCTTACTTTGGTTCAAGCACTAGGCCTATGCTTCAGGCTCTTTCTTTCTTCTACACAACCTAGTAAAATGATGAAAATAACTACTTGCAAACATTTAAATTTAAACAAACATGCTTTACCTGCATGTGCATACTATTACTTTCTCCAAATATTCAAGAGAACAATTTTACTGACATGAATGTTTGCCAAAACAGATTTGAAGAAATTGCAGAATACTTGCAGAAAGTCAATTTGAAATTTGTGATGTGTTTACTTAAAAATATTCACCAACAAATGTAGCTATAGAAACGTATCTGTTCAGACAATTCACAAATAGTAAACAAGCTAAATTAAATGAACTGTTCAATGTAAATTCTTAAAGGGGTAGCCATATTAGTCTGATGTGCAAAAATAAAGAGTCCCATGACACCTTAAAGACAGCAATATTAAGAATAGTCTATAGATCTGACATGTATGAAAAAAACAGCACAACTTACGTTACACCAGGATGAAGATTATACTTCTTTTTCCCAAATCTGGTCTGCTGTGCAAAGAAGTCATACCGCTCAGATTTTTTCCACATGTAATAAAATGCCACACACTCACCAACTGATCTGGTTCGTACCTGTGAAACAGGTGCCACACAAAAACGTTGATTAATTCAAATGTATTTTTTCTAGCAACTATGAGATACATTAGACTTTGAGTAGGGGTGCCAGATGGTTTCTGAAAAAATACCGGGGTGGGGGACACACCAAGAGTTAAGCATAAAATAAAATAAAATAAACCCAGGTGGCCCCTTTAAGAAAAACTTTTGAGGCTTTCTGGCCCTAACAACCTGCTGATGGCTGCCGTACGGGGCTAGATAGCTCCCCTGCAGAACCTGGTAAGCAGAATAAAAATCAGAAAATACCAGATGTTTTAGGTGTTCAGTATTTTCTGAATTTTTTTTTAATTGGACAGGAGGTGAAAATACCAGATTGTCCAGTTCAATACCGGACACCTGGCAACCCTAACTGAGAGGTTTTGTATGGCCAGAGTGGAGACTCAAAGCATTCCCTTAAAATTGTTCATCCTAATATGATGAGGAACAGGATGACAGGATAAAAGTAATAAATGGTACATGGAGAACATTTGTTCTCCTGGTCTCTGAACACAAGGCCAAGAAGATATTCAATGCACTTAAAAGGGGATGAATTATAAATAACATGTAATTAAAAACTTACTGATAACAGGAACTTAAGGCAAATCAATTCACATGATTCAAAATGGAATTAGATGTTTAAATGATAAAAGTTTAGGAAGGGATATTTCAGGGATCAAGTCCCTCAATTATTAAGAGCTCAGGATGAGAGCTACAAGAGATAGGGGCAGATTATCTCACATCTACCTACAGGAGAGGTCTTATACTTTCCTTGGTGCTGGTCATTGTCTAACAGGATACCAGATCAAATCAGAGGTCCACCTACTCCAGCATAGCAATTCTTTATTTCCTGAGACACACCTATTTTTAATCATAATTCAGGAATATTCTGGAAGTTATTTTATGAAATAAAGCTAAATGCCAAATCCTATTTTGATAAAAAATGAGCAAATTAGGCAGGGAAGGAGGGCTTCCTGAGCTTTTTGTCCTCAAACATTAACTCACAATGGCAGAAAATTTCTGTGCATGTCCACATTTCAGTGACTAGCTTAGCTCAAGGAAACCAGTCCAGATGAAAATGAATATGCCAGCCGCAAAATTGTGGCATACTACCAATCAAGAAACTATCATGTTAAATGGAGAATAAATATTTAATAAATGGCTTTTCAATCTAGCAGAGAAAGGTATACATTTTTGTCAGGGAGGTTAATTAATCATTGGAACAGTTCACCAATGTTATGGTTGATTCTTCTTCATTAACTACTTTAAAATCAAGACTGCAGGTTTTTCTAAAAGATATACCTTTAGGAATTATTTTGGGGGATGTTCTATGGCCTGTGTTTTACAGGAAGTCACACTAGATCATCCCAATGGTCCCTTCTAGGCTTGGCACCTATTTCAAATAGAAGAGTACTTTACCGCAGCATTGAGCAGGAATAAGTATATTGGCAAAAGGAGGTGCATGCTACAGGGATAGGTTTACAAGTGACCAGAGAAGCACCAGGAACACACTAACAAGGAGGATGCCTCAAGCCTTGATCCTATTAAAGGGAGCAATTTAAGAAGCAGCAGCTTTCATGCCCCATGTGTGCAATGGGAACAATATTTAGGAACTTGGGATAGATGACTTCACGTTTTACATCTGCTGAAGAGCAGCCCTAGAGTCTGCATGTGGGGCAGGCAAAAACCATAATAAGAGAACTGTAGAAAGCAGATTCTAACTCCCCATTTTATGGGGTTTACACATGCTCTGACAGAGATCTTTGGACAAATGCAAAAAATACCATAGTACCAGTATTCCTGCAGATTACCAATATGATTTTTGTTGTTGTATTACTAGTAGGAGACTCCATCTATGTTTTATTCCCCAGTGGTTTCTGAAAAAAAGATTTCATTACCCTCTAACTTCTATTTGACTAGGGCTCTGAATACAGTATACAGTCAAATTTTGAACTCTACTCCAAAATGTCCAGGTAAAATCAGTGGATAAACGCAAGAATTATTACAATATGAAAATTCCTATTAATATTCCTGTAACAACTTTGATTGCAGCGTTTTTGAAGATGCCTACCATCCTCTACAGGCTCTTTAACTCTACTTAACAAGATAACATATTCTGACCAGTTAAGTATTAAATGATATTGTTGATTAACATTTTTGTGAACAGACCCATTAAAGGCCTTGTATAACAAAAACAGCATTTCGGAATCATTTTCCCATATTCCATAAAATGCCAGTTAACTCATGAAGCTTATCAGAACAACCTTCTATAGAAGAAGTGAAAGAAGGATATGTATAACACAGTGACTAAATTAAACAAGTTATCTGGAGGGAAGTTAAGATATATTTAGTATCTTTTTAACTACAAAAACAGTAGGAAAATAACTACTTCTTAAAACATTCTTACCTTGTTTGCCTGAATCAAATGAAAATCCTTTCCATAGGCCTTCAGTCCTTGTTCAAAATTCCTACATTCTTCCTCTGTCCATACAGCTAACTCTTCTGATATAAGAAACAATATAGAAAACATTTTAAAGTGACAGCATAAGGATAACAAATGGAAACTCAAGAATCTGATACAAAATATACTCTGTATTTAAGTTTCTTGATCATAATATGATTAAAGGAGAACAGCATTCCAAAATTCCAATTACTAGTGTGAAAATCAGAAAGCATCTGTTTCAGTCTGAAAGTGGAAAAGGGATTCGTTTGCTAAGAACTGTCAGTAACGGATCCCTCAGATGATGCTTAATATCATTTAGCTACTGGAATAGATGGGACAAAAAGCATTTAAACACAGACAGTCAAGACTGTTGATACTAGGGAAATTCAAACCTTAAAAATGAAATATTTCAACAAATATTGGTTCCGCTCCAGTGCTGTTAGCAACATTGTTAAGCTGCTGCTCTCATTTTAAGTACTGTTGCCTAAATTTACTCCATACAGACAGAACCAGCATGATAGTTAAAATGGCTATGCAGTCAATGGACTTCTTATACTACCTCTGCCAATATGATGAATTGGTATTAGCAACGTTTGGGAAAATTGTGGCAGAGAAGCCCAGAGAAGATCAACTTGACAATACATTTCACTGAAATGAGCAACTGTCAAGAAAGATTAGGAGACTTAAGGGTAGGCCTATCTCAGTAAATAAGCCATCATGCTTTCCACAGCACAGGGTGAGAAATTCTGGTCCCGCTGACCTCAGTGGCAAAGCTCTTATTATCAGTCAAGATATTACCCAAAATATGGAAGAGATTGGTCTCATCTACCCAGGGCACAGGAGGGGTAGTGTGGGAAAGAAAGAAGCGAATCTATGCTTTACAGCAATTTTTTTCATGTAGACAGGTCTAGGGTTCTAATTTTCTCTGCCATCACCTTCACAAAATGACTTCAGAAGCAGAGCAGGCATAAAGTACTAAGAGACGTGCAAGCTTGGAGTGTGTGAAGAGAAATACAGGAAGACCCAAGTCAGAAGATGAAAGTTAAACGAATGAAGAGGAAATATCAGACAGAAGGATATAAAGGAAAAATCTGTACAAGGACAAAACAATTTACAGTGAACTCAAAGTGTGTCTTCTGAAAATGCAGGTTAGTTTATTAAAATTTAGAATCTTTTTCTATCTACAAGAGTTAGAGGCCTAATTTTTTTTCTACAAATAATTATGAATTCCGGTATAATTTCACACACAAGAATGTAATGAATTATATAAACTTGAGTCTAGAGAATAAGCCCTCAACAATTTATAATTTAGTTGGGTGGATACGGAATTCTAAAAGTTGCAAAGTAATGAATAAAAATGTCAAGCTATTATTCATAAGCCCTCTTTCTTTTGGGTTACTGCTAAGGTACTTATATATTTATATTATTCTCATCACTTCATCTTCCAAAATCTCATCTTGGCTCTTAACTTTTAGAAGCACAGTGTATGTATGTCCCTACATGGCTCCATTAGACATGAACCCTAAATATGGGGTCAGAGTTCATTAATTCCTAAATTTGGGGGAAAAGCCATAATAGTGCTATAACAATGTGGATGTGAAATCCTACCATGATCTGAGATATCTGACAACAGCAATCAATGCTTAATTTTAATTATTTTGACAAATTAAAGGAGGTATGGGGGGGAAATAAAAGTACATTTAAAATCTGAAGTATTCTTACCTCTGGCTGCTTTTACATTAAATCTTAATCTTCTCAATGATTCTTCAGTATCAAAATTGCACTTAACCAATTCATACAACGCCTGGAAAGGTGAAAAACTACACATTTAATGCTTGACTCCATATACTAATGAATTTGCATATTATTACAATGGTGCAAAGGGGATGTGACAGTTTTATGGCTTAAAGTTAACTGGTGGGAACTGGAGCAGCCCCTGTCTGCGACGGGCCTGAGCATCCTGCAGGCAGGGGCTGCTCCAACTGGGATGCCGGAGCAGCCCCGACTGTGAGGTATCCTGGTCCACCCAAGCAAGGGCTGCTCTAGCCCATCTTGTGCAGTCCCTGCCAGGTGGTGCCTGGCGGGGCACCACCAGCCCAGCGGCAGGAGAGGGAGCCAAATCAAGTCAACCGGTTAAACAATGTGTTACACCGGCTAGCCTATTAAACAGGATTTTACATCCCTAGGTACAACTATTACTTATATTTATTCTGAAAAGTCTAATTTCTCTAAAAATCCAGTTAAAAAATATATTTTAAAATCTACTTAAAGGCTCAATATTAGCACACAAAAAACTTCCCAATGGAGACAGGCACCTTTCAGGTTACACGCCTTCTAGATAGTGCATATATAAAACACATACTTTTTCCCTCATTTTTTGTTCTAAAATGTTGTATTATAGTATTACATACAATAGCTTCCATGCTCTACTCTCATTTATAGGACAAAAGTGTACAACTGATCCTTTAGCCACAGAAGTGACAACAGGTATAGCTTCTGCCTATTTTATGGAGAGACTCAAATGGAATTCTGATATTCCCATAAATGTACACATATGGTTAGTTACACAAAGAGTACCCAAACTGGGCTGGCAATTCAATTTTACCATGCATCCTTACACTTAAGAAATCTGCAAGACTGGTGATTTTGCACTTTAAGGAATCTATTCTCACTTTTTCATAGGTTCAGCCTCACCCTCAGATGTGTATTAACAAGATTGACATGGTTTTAATATGAAAACTGAATATATGTGCACATCAAAACGCTAATAACTGTACACATTTGTTAAGTCCATGTTTTTTTTGTTAAGGCAGGAACAGAACTTGGTTCTTGTTAGTAAAGAGCTATAAAATCTACAACAGGAAGAGAGACCAGAATTTAGATCTTTGAAGATAAAAGATGTTTCATAATGCACTTGTTAATTTTAAAAATGAATATGTATTGTGTTATTGATTTGCATTCTTAAACATTTGCTTTTGTAGGAGGAAAGAGGGAAAAAGCAATTAATTTCCTCTGATGGGGATAAGAGGAAAAAATGGAAGTGATTTCAAATCAGATTTTGAAGTATGGGGTAGCAAATGAGATAGTTACAATACCAATTGTAACACACCCTAAGGCTATTAAAAATTCTAATGTGTACCTGTTCATTGTCTTTAATATGTGACCCTTCAGGAATTGCATCTAGCCCTCTCTCATCTCCTGTTCGCCTGGAGGCTTCATTAAGGAATTCAATCACTTTATCCTCTGTTAAATAATCAGGATTCCAGAGCAGTTGGTCATCATTTTCATATACTAAATTAAGGAAAACAAAAGAAAAATGAAGCATATTTTGTAAGACTAACTTCTATTCAACCTCAAAGAAAACATACTAAGTTAAAAATAGGTCTGTCAAGTGATAAAATTAATCACAGTTGATTGCCCTGTTAAATAATAGGCTACCAACTGAAATTTAAATATTTTGGATGTTTTCTTCCTTTTCAATATATTTATTTCAATTACAACACAGAATAAAAACGTGTTAACACAGAACTTCAAATGCAGAATTATGTACAAAAATAACTGCATTTAAAAATAAAGCCATATAAAACCTTAGAGATCCTAAAGTTTTACTCAGTCCTACTTCTTGTTCAGCCAATTGCTTAGATGAACATTTGGAGGAGATAATGCTGCCTGCTTCTTGTTTATAATTTCACCTGAAAGTGGGAATAGGCATATGCCATTGCTGTGTCAGCATCAAAAGATATTTACATGCCAGATGCACTAAAGAGTCACATGGACCTTCATGCTTCAATCACCATTCCAGAGGACGTACATTCATGCTAATGAAGGGTTCTGCTTGATAACAATCCACAGCAGTATAGATTGACACATGCTCATTTTCTTAACAAGTCAGATTCCACCTACAGAAGAATGGATTTTCTTTTTTGGTGGTTCAGGTTCTATAGTTTCCACATCATTGTTGCTCCTTTAAGATCTCTGAAAGCATGCTCCACAATTCAGTTCTCCCAGATTTTGGAAGGATCTTCAGATTATTAAATCTTGAATAGAGTGCTCTAGCTATAGTTAGAAATTCTACATTGGTATCTTCTTTGCATTTTGTTAAAATTGCAGTGAACGTCTTCTTAGACATGTCTATACATGACCATATATACACACATACATACCCACTGAAGTGCTGCAAAACATTGTGAATCTAATTGACTCCCCAAGCATACACAATGTCTATAGGGGGGGAAAAGCCCTTCCCCCCCTCCTCCCTTTAAGTTACAAAAATCACAAGATAGCAGCACTATTTCAAACAGAGAGTCAGACTGCCTTCACCTAACCACCAAAATAAGACTGTGCAATTTTCATTGTACAGGCAGTCCCCAGGTTACATGGATCCGACTTACATCGGATTCCTACTTAAACGGGGTGAGGCAACCCCGCACTAGCTGCTTCCCCCCAGCAGACCAGGGAGACGCGAAGCTAGTGCCCCCCCAGCAGACCAGGGAGATGCGGAGCGGCTTTTCTCAGCAGACACCTCAGCTTGAGAATAAAGGACTGAGGAAAGTGAGGTGTGGGAGAATAAAACTGAGCTCTGGAGAAATGTTTGGCTAGAGTTTCCCTTACAATATGTACCTGTTCCGACTTACATACAAATTCAACTTAAGAACAAACCTACAGTCCCTATCTTGTATGTAACCCGGGGACTGCCTGTACTCTGCTGAAAAGATCTACTACCTGAGATGAAAATAGAAGAGAGTTATTTTGAGATTGCTGAAGTCTCAAACTTTCTCTCAATAATACAGGCTAAAAACAACCACCATTGGACAGGCATGACTATGGAAAAAACGACAGTAGTTAAATCAAGCAGTGGTGGTGAACAAAGTCTTATGTATAAATAATGAGCAGTCCTATGGAACCTTAAAGACTTACATTTATTTGGGCATAAGCTTTCATGGGGAAAACCCACTTCAAATATTTGGCTACCCCTCTGAAATTTGTTGTGGATAAGAATTTAATACATTTCTTAATTTTGTAACTGGCACCACTTTAGGAGAGTATTTGAAGTTATTAGACACACAAAGAATGACTGTCACAAATCATTAGATGATGGTTAGATAGACATCTAACAGGGATAGTCTAGATGGTCCTTGGTCCTGCTGGGAGGGCTGGAGACTGGACTTGATGACCTCTCAAGGTCCCTTCAAAAATCGGAACCTCTACCCTCTATTTTAAGTCCCATACATTTTCTAAGTAGCATTTCAAGGGATTGTTTCATTTGGCCTCTCCTCCATGTTCCTCTAACTGCCAAATGGCATGCCTGACACTGCAGGTACCTCAGCTTAATTCTTAACACATCTCAAATATTTCCAACTTCATTTCTGAGAAACTTTAGCAATAAAGGATTATTGAACTCCAACAAATCTGAGCACGTGTTACGAACTACAAACTAGATATGTCTCTGTTTGCAACAGATTCCAAGCTTTTACATACATACAATAGCTAGGAAGAACTTTACTATACTAAAGTAATAAGAATGGGTGAACGGGCAGCAAAGTGTTGCATTTTGGATAAAGAAATACAGATTTCAAGCTCTATGTTAAGATACCTAAAAGATAAAGAAAAGAGCACCAAAAGAGGTTTCTTCACAGCCAGTGGCGCATGTTTTATCCTTTAGTGCATTAATATTAAAAATAATTGTATTCCACACAGTGACATTTAATAGCAAAAGGAACAACCACACCTTTATAGTTAGGGATGCACTGTAGCTTTCATTTTAAACTCATGTTAATTCATTTGGAACTTTTGACTTATCTAGATGAAATTTTTTGGACCTGAACTGTGTTGGATTTTTCATTTTTTTAAATTCAAGCAAAAAAAGATCTGCCATTTCAAAAACTCTTTGAATATAAAGTGCATAAGGATACACAGATATTTCTCGCTAAAATTTTCACTGAAACTATGCTTTCAATTTCTGTGACTGATCCATACCCTGAGAGACTCAAGTTATTCTGACTATCACATCACCTGGCTGCTCAAGTTGGGCAGGAACTATCCTAACTACAGGCCTATTAAGGAGTTTTCTTCTTAGGTCTGTAGTAGGGATGTAAGCAACTAGTCAAGTATCTGATAAGTATAAGCTTACTGGATAGTCAACTAGTCCCTCAACTAGTCACTTCCCCCACCCCTTGCTGCCTCTACCAGAGGCAGCGGTGGGGGAGAGAGGGGGAAAGCAGGAGCCAGTGCTGGGGGGGAGCCGTTTCTTAAGCAGGTTTCCCCCAGTACTATTTCCACAGGGGATAGCAGGGACTGGGCATGAGCTGGGAATCAGCTGATTCCCAGCTCATGCCCAGTCCCTGCTATCCCCTGTGGAAATAGTACTGGGGGAAACCTGCTTAAGAAACGGCTCCCCCCCCGCACTGGCTCCCCCCTTCCCCCCCCCTCCCCCCCCCCCAGCCATACGTCACTCAACAGCTGACCCTTGGCTGCACTTCAGCCTTTTAAATGTATTAAGAGCCTTCTGGCTCCTAATACATTTATAAGGCAGAGCTGCAGCGTGGTTAACTCCTAGGGCTGGGAGCTAACACTGTTGTGGCTCCCCCAATCATCAACTAATCAACCAGTCAATGGAAATTCCATCGACTAGTCAATTAGTTGATTGAACTAAATTTAACATCCCTACTCTATAGCTGGGGCAGATACCTGTTTTGCATAACTCAAATTATGCTGGAGTAATGGCTCTGCTCTGGTAAGCACAAGCAACTGTTTTATAAGGGGAGTTACAAAGTTCCTAAAATTTCATAAAATATTCATCTTACGAAGACTGATTAGGAGAGAGGATCTGGTGATATAGTCCTAGAATAAGATATTTCCCAGGCTTTAAAAAAAAAAAGAAACCCATAAAAGTATATTAAGAGAATTGTAAGGTGGAACAAGTATTCAAAATAATGGAACGACAAAGTCAAAATTACATGTCCCACCTAGCATACACATTACTTACCACAATTACATCAATGTATAAGATTTTTCAAATATTACATACAATTGTTTCAAACAAATTTTGCTAGACAATACTAAAGAAAGGGGTAATACTAGTAACAGCCTGCATAACATATTTGTTAATGGAACAAAAGAAGGCTCAACAAGTAAACGTCAAACTGAAGAAGTAAATTCTTCCCATCTCCTTCTATCCAACTCCTTATGTGGGCAGGATAGGGCATTTGCATTATGGTATCATTCTTTTACTTTTTAATGTTTTCATTTAATTGGGTTTCGCATTTTTCTAATAGTTCAGTTAAGTAATTTTCTTTTTTGTAATTAGGCACCAAATAAAGCCATGAAGTCTCTTTCGTTACAATTGTTACTGTTCTAATAAATTAGCACTTTATGCTAATTAGATCATTTTTAACCGTGTAAACAGTTTCAAATACAGAAACATCTGTCTGATGGAATAAACTGTTACACAAATGGCAACGTTAATAAATAGTTTTAAATTTTTTTCTAAGATGTCTTGTCTGAAATTATCCCTCAAATGTTAGTACATAAAGGTGTACAAATCATTTCAGAAATGTTGATTGCATCAAAGCTCACCTTTCTCATTCTCCTTGTATTTGCATATGCCAGCTGGAATTTCAGCTTGAAACATAGAGCCCACCATGATTTCCTGTTTTTCAAAAAATAAACAAATATAATGCACTTGACACACTGAAGAATGGCAGACATACAATATTCTTTTAAGCACTAAAATCTACTGCCACCAATAACCTAGAAAATACATGAAAAAGCCTAACAGGAATTAAAACAACCACCACCACCACCAAGATAGAAATTTATTTTTTTCTCTATGAGGCTTTGAGAGGCTATTAAAAGAAAACATCCACTAACACTAAAACTGTTCTTTTTTAATTATTAAGAGAAATAGGAAGCAGGCAACTGAGCTCTACAAACTCACAAGTTAAACCTAAACCCTACCCCTTTATTTTGGGAATTAAAACCCCTTCACAGTATGATAACATTTATTATGGTTATTCACTGAGAGTCATAATTGGTAGAGGAAAGAGCAAAGCAATTAAATATGCATTCTTTTATATCTACTTATTGAAATTAAAAACAATTACATGCACTTCATATAATGCTTAAATTGTATTGAAACACCCCAGGTGTAATGATAATTAGAACAAATATAGCAATTACTTCAGTGAAACTAATGTGATTTAAATAAGAATTTATTTCACTAAAAGAAGTTACAGTCTCCTAATTGGTCAGATGGATTTAGAGCTGTTCTGTGATAATTTATGAATAGTGTATGTGACATGATTATTGGGATTTCACTGTACGTATATGTTAATTTAAGAACCAGCTCGTATTTTCCAGCAGCAGGAACTGAAACAATAACTCAAGATACACTACTTCTCTGTAAATACTTTAGCATGGTTAAAACACAAGGCCTGAGCTATTAACTTTGAAGATCCTACCTCCAGGTTACAGCCAGTTACAGACCCACAGCTGGAGGCCAGCAGATCAGAAGGATTACAATATTCTGTCCAGAGATCAAGGCAGTTGTGGCCAAGAAGCTATTTGGAATGACACCCACTTCTCCCCCTTTCCCTCACAGGTCACCATCACCAGATGGTAGATCTTTAAGTAAGAAACATGCATGTCGAATGTTTTAAATCCTTCCTCTCATGTTACACTTTATTCCTAACAGCTAAGATTAAATGCCACTTTGGTTTGAGAAGCCTGTGAGACCTGATAAAAAGGGACCAAACTCCCCAAAAGAGCTGCAGATGTCAAACTCAGTCAGACCCACTGGGGAAAACAGTGACACACAAAGTACTATAGTCAAGGCCTGGCCTAGGAGTGGGAGAACTGTGTGATTTCACTTCTGCAAAAGACAAAAGGCCTGACATCTGAAGGAGTGTACTCAGCAATCTGAGATGGGACAGAGATGCAGCTAGCCCTTTAACAGGTTTTTTAAGAAAACCATTAAGCAGAGGCTCTGGACTCCAGGCAAGGAAGTCAGTAGAACATCTCAAAAATAGAGGCTACTCCTGTGCAAAGTAGTCCTAGCCCCAGAAAGGAATGGAAATCATCATGGACTTCAGAAAACAGAGTAGGGAAAACAAAGTTTAAAAGTCTTAACTTGGCAGTATTTGTATTTAACTGCAAAATTATGAAATGATTTATTGAAAATGAGCTAAGGATAACTAAAAACACCAGCTTTGGGGTTATTTTTGGCAGCCTTCTGGATAAACTGAAAATTGGCATAAAGGAACCTGTTTATAGGAACTAATGCAAATGACAGAAAACAGAGTAGGGAAAACAAAGTTTAAAAGTCTTAACTTGGCAGTATTTGTATTTAACTGCAAAATTATGAAATGATTTATTGAAAATGAGCTAAGGATAACTAAAAACACCAGCTTTGGGGTTATTTTTGGCAGCCTTCTGGATAAACTGAAAATTGGCATAAAGGAACCTGTTTATAGGAACTAATGCAAATGAACTCT